AGGGCATCAATTCCCCAGGCAACCATTTCATGACGTATGTAACTAGGACTGACGGATCCTATAATTCTATACTCACAATGTTTTCATTTAAAACAAAAGAAACAAATAGGCTGGGTGCTGTGGCTCATGCCTACAATCCCAGCACTTTGGGAGGCCGAGGTGGGCAGATTACCTGAGGTCTGGTGTTTGAGACCAGCCTGGCCAACATGGCGAAACCTCGTCTCTACTGAAAACACAAAAATCAGCTGGGTGTGGTGGTGCGCTCCTGTAATCCCAGCTACTCAGGAGGCTGAGGCAGGAGAATCACTTGAACCCAGGAGGTTACAGTGAGCCGAGATCGCGCCACTGCACTCCAACCTGGGTGACAGGGTGAGATTCAAAAAGCAAACACACAACACCACCAAAAGAGACCAAAGCACCCTTGATTTACATATCTAAGTCTATCTACATTTGCCCATAATACAGATGTCAATATTGGTTGCTTTGGAATTACAGTCTTTGAAACTTAAAAATAAACAAAGATCTAAAAAAAAATCATTACAGACCTATGGTTCAAAACCATTTCAACATGTTCATTTAAACCCCTTCTCCAATTCCCACTGAGATGAATAAAGGAGTAAAAGTAGGAAAACAATTTATTAGTGCTGGAAAATGGGATGAACACCATCCACACGCAAAAACTAGAAATGATTTCTCTATCATATAATTCAAGTAAGACCAGATTGAGGGGCAAGTTGGCCAACCCATGTGCTGTGGAAATACTCGACAAGAGAGAAAGCAACAGAGAGTAAACCTTGATCCTCTGAGGCTCCTTCAGAAAATATACATTAAATTATACTTCCAGAGTGAGTTTACACTCAGACTTCATGCTGAGTGACTGTTGAAGCTGTATCCTCATCATGGAAACCATTCTAGTTAGAGACGGATGGACACTGCCCTAGCTATTTCTGGGCACCAAAACAAATCTAGAAAAGAAACTTGGTCAGTTTCTCAAAAGGCAGAGAAACTCCACATCACATGACAGTTACCTCTTAGAGCAGCCTCTGACTGTTGTTCCACCATCACCTGGAACAGAATATGGCAATGTAGAACTACAGTTTCTCCTTTAATCAAAATAAATCTAAAGCATCACCTTCTCCCTGCATTTAGACCCAAAAGGCCAGTTCAGAGGCTCACGGCATAACCCAAACCAGACTTCTCTGTAAGAACAGAGAAAAATCATTAGACTTTCTGTGGAATAAGAACGTCCTCCTACAAAATAGTATTAATGCCAGAAAAGAGAAAACATTAGAATATTTCTATTTTGTATTTTCACTAAGACTAAGAATATAGCAAAGCGGTAAAACTGGAGATCAGATAAACTCACTATATATATACACACACACACACACACACACACACACACACACACACACATTTACAATTGTCTTGGATATGATCATTTACATATTTGTCTCCTCTACTAAACTATGATCGATCAGCAGGTGGAAACTATTGTTTTATTCATCTCTAAACTCACAGTACCTAGCATAATGCCTAGCATAGCAAAGGTATTGCAATAGTAAACTTTACTGAATGCATGAGGCAAACCACCAATTAAGTATCAGAGCTTATATTTTTAATATAATTACAATAGTTTTTATTCTCAATATCTATTAAAATATTAAAATTCTTCTCTATAATTCTTATATTTCTTTATTCTACTATCTATAGAGTAAGCTTAGATTATTCGTATTAGATGCAGATAGTAAGCTAATAAATTAATTACTTCTTCCTAAAATTACTGAGCTTTATTATATCCTGAAATATTTCCTCTTAAATCAATAAGTAACATTCAAGCAACAACTGATTCCTAAGAATATTATATGGCTAACACGACATAAAACTTCACAGAAACAGTGCACAAGTAGTAACATAGAAACAGGCTGGTAGCTCACACCTGTAATCCCAGCACTTTGGGAGGCCAGGGCGGTTGGATCACTTGAGCCCAGGAGTTTGAGACCAGCCTGGGCAACACAGCAAAACCCCACATCTACCAAAAATACAAAAATTAGCTGGGTATAGTGGTGCGTGCTTGTAGTCCCAGCTACTCGGGAGGCTGAGGCGGAAGGATCGCTTGAGCCTCGGGAGGCAGAGGTTGCAGTGAGCTAAGATTGCATCACTGCACTCCAGCCTGGGAGAGAGAGCAAGGCCCTTTCTCACAAAAAATTTAAAAAGTAAAATAAAACAAATATTTCTCTACAGCTCACAAATGGACTGAAGAGAAAATTAAAAACAAAAAGAAAAAAACAAACTGCTTTCCTTTTCCTATTCTCTCCTCAAACGCAAAAAAGTCCTGTAAAATAATCTTGAAAAAGCCTGTAAGCCAAGAAGCAGGATAATCTGCCCTGGGAAACACTGATAGAAAAGCGCTAATACTATTTGGAGAAAAACACGAAGAACAAAAATGGATTTTTCAAAGGAAGATTACCAATGTTTATTAGGGGGGCAGTTTATCAGTTCCTGGCTTATCAAAAATAAAAATACTGTGTTATTTTTAAAATTCAGGCAAATTGTTACACCTAAATAAATATTATGACTCAATTTCAGTCAAGCCCGGTTTCACATATGGGAAACTTAAAAATCTGAAACCGTACATCTCAGGCTAGTGATCACACCACAAATCATGAGATATGAGGCCCCTGTCATTGTATAGATGAAATTCAACACCGCATTATTTCATGTAGCTCCCATACCTCTTCGAGGTAGAGAATACTTACATTCATTTTATAGACTTGGCAACTAACAGTGAGAGTAATTAAGCATAATTATTGAAAAAGAGAATGCAACACATGTTATACTTACTTCCCAGAAAGGTTTCCTAAGCTTTCAGAGTCCCTGGTATTCCATAAAAGTATGAGAACTTAGTAAAGTAAGGAAAGTAGACTTTACTAAGTATAAGACTTTATTAAGTATGAGAACATAGACTTTACCAGTATGGAACCCAGACTAGCAAATTTCAACTGTCACAACTCCTAGGTGCTACTTCAGGCACCAGCACTATAAAAATTAATAAATACCACTTTAGGAAGTCTACTGTTTCTATTGATAATGTGCCAGGTTTAAAAAAGAAAGTTTACTGTTTGGTGCCAGTCAACAGTTGCATTTGGGAGGGTGGCATGAGCAGCTAGTTATTCCCACCCAAGCCCTGTTGGTGCAAAGAGGCACTGGGGAACAGAAGGCAAGCATCCAATACAGTGTGTATCACATTCACAGGGCATTTATCAGAGGCCTATTTCACCATCTACAACGGGCCTTGTAAAGCAGGTGATGATTGGGAGTCTAAGTCTCCTTATTTATAAACCAGGGCCCTTTCCATTTGTAGTAAACTTTTTGGTTACTTCTCCAGTATTTGCTGCTTCCTTTTTCCTTCTAATAGTTCCAATTTTGTTTGGTGATCAATGTGGTTCCAGGAAAGCTGACTCAACCCAACTCCATTCCTGGCTTTAAGCCAGGCAAGTCAGTACATTCCATCTCCTTGGCACAGTGACAAGTGTAGACACAGGCATGTGACTGAAGCTAGTTAACTACAGTGAACCCTCTGGGTTTTGCTGGGACAAGGATGAAGGAGCCCAGAAACAGCAAGCAGGCATCTTGGGCAATGTGGAGAGCCAGTCGTGGAAGGACACCAATGCCAAGAAAGGAAGAGCAAAGACAAAAACCAACCAACTCCTTGGGAACAGGGTTGTTCCTTGCTTCCCTTGAAGCCAAACCCGCTCTAACCTTTTCAATTAGAAGAAATATATTCTCTTTATTATGCCTACCTGAGTTGGGGTTTCTGGTACATGTGACTGACAGCACACCACTATACCATGTGTTCCTAATTCCCTATCCCAGAACTAACAGTAAAAAATAAGATCTCAATTATAGTTTTAAGTTCCTCAGTTAACTTAAAAATATATCATAAGCAAGCTGCTTATATAATGAAATAGTATAAATCAAAACCACGTAAAATAGAGCACATCAGGCCCTTTGTCCACTGCCCTTCTAAGCTCGACCAGCTTCTTTTCATCCAGTGGGACAAATAATGGCCCACTGGACCCCCGGGTAAGGAAGGAGGCCCGCAGTGCCGGACCCCTGGGTAAGGAAGGAGGCCTGCAGCAGTAGACCCCCCGGGTAAGGAAGAAGGCCTGCAGCACTAGAGCCCCCGGGTAAGGAAGGTGGCCTGCAGCACTAGACCCCCCCGGGTAAGGAAGGAGGCCTGCAGCACTAGACCCCGGGGTAAGGAAGGAGGCCTGCAGTGCTGGAGCCCTGGGTAAGGAAGGAGGCCTGCTGTGCTGCCACAACCAGGCATGTCCCTCCTGCCTCCCATCACTGCTGTAGACCAACTCTATCTGCAGCTGAGAGGAGAGGAACTGAGTTGAAAAGAGAGACTGTTTCCTAACTTTCACCTGCTGTGGGAAGCGCAAAGCCTTACCCAATATTGGTAATTCAGGAAAAACTCATAAGATTGAGTTAATCAACGTTCAAAAGCCTCATAGCAGCAAAAAAACTTAAACAATAAATATCTGTCATACTTGCTTTATCTCATCTATATACATACATAGGAATAAATAAATGTTCGTTTTTTTGGCTACACTCTTCCAACGTATGTTATAGGAATCTTCTCCCTAAACACCTTAAAATACATCTTCTTTTTTAAAAAAGGACATTCTCCTATAGAACTACAATATCATTATCATATGATAATTACTTATCAAATATGTAATTATATGCAAAATTTTCCAACTATCTCAAAAATGTCTCATGTGGCTGGTTTCTTCAACCACAATCCAATCAATATTCATGCACTGCATTTGCTTTTCATGTGTTCTTTAGTCTCAACCTGGGAAAGCAAACAAGGCACTATATCTTTACATTTTCCAAAAATACTTAACACAATTCACCTGTTCAAAAGAGGTATCTTCTTCTAAGTCTGACTCCATGAACTCCTGGAGAATATTCCTAAGAACAAGACCTACCTGGGGGGCTGAGAAGCTGAAGAACATCAGTATGTGCCATAGCCTGCAGGAATTCACTCAGTTCTGTGACCGTGCAACCTTTTTCACCCATTAACTTCAGTAGACACAGGCTGGGGCTTCCTTCAGGCTCCAGAACCTTAAGAGAACACTGCTCCAGGTCTAGGCAGCTGAAAGCAACAGAAAGAACTTACGTCAACAGCTTTCTTCCACATGATACACTTGCTATATTTCTGGACCACGGTGGTGCTGTACAGAATAAATCACAAGTGAGTGGGTGGGTGGTGAGAAACTATTCACAGAATGAATCTGAGTGTCCTTTCCTTCATCATGGGGAATTCTTCCTTATTCCCTTCTCCCACTCAGCTCCCATGATTATTAAATCAGGAGAATGAGAAATGCAGAAACAGGATGTGAGGGAAACTGAGCCTTGACACTGATGAAGGTTTTTGGCCTTTAATTGAGAATGGGGAACAGGAAGGCCAGAAAAATGTCCTTACTCGTTCTTCAAAAGCGCTGAAATACAGAATGACCCCAAATGAAGCCCTAGTAGGGTAGACTCTGTTGCCTCCTGAGTGAAAGGAATATGCATTCATTCCATTAGGGAGCCAAAATATCTTAAATCATAGCACATGCACACTCATAAATGGTGTTAGTAGTACTCTGAATTGAAAGGAAGAGAGGCTAATGTCTAGAAGATGACACTACATAGAACAACCAATGTTGCAAGGTTAGCAATCGAAAAATACTTAAAATATCCATTTAAATAAATTACGGTATGTACATCAAATGAAACAGTTAATTCATTAAACAACTGAGGCTGAGGTAAAGGCATAGGTCTTCAAGACATAGTGAAAAATGAAGGAATTAACATAAAAACTGTATATAATACACTACTATTTGTATTAACAAGGTAGTATGTCTATGTGTGTATTCATACAAAAAAGGAAGATACAGAAAAGTGTTTGTTATTACCAAGATCATTTGTGTGTGTTCTCATACATGCAGGCTAAATTTTGAAAAGATACCTAAGAAACTGGTAACTGTCATTGCCTCAGAGAGAGTAACTAAGGGAGTAGAGCTCACGGCTGGATGATCTACTTTACACGATAAACCCTTTTGTACTGCTGATTTTTTTATGTGCGTTTATTTTTTGATAATTTTTTTTTAAATAGAGATGGGGTGTTGCCATGTTGGCCAGGATGGACTCAAAAGCCTGAGCTCAAGCGATACTCCCGCCTCTGCCTCCCAAAGTGCTGAGGCCACCACTCCTGGCTCTTTCAATAATTTTTAAAAAGTATATTTAGAAAGAAAACTAGTACTATTAACATTCAAACTAATTAGGATGGGCGCGGTGGCTCACATCTGTAATCCCAGCACTTTGGGAGGCTGAGGTGGGAGGATCTCTGGAGGCCAGGATTTTGAGACCAGCCTGGCCAACACTGTGAAACCCCGTCTCTACTAAAAATACAAAAGTTAGCTGTGTGTGCTGGTGCACGCCTGTAGTCCCAGCTACTCAGGAGGCATGAGAGTCACTTGAACCCAGGAAGTGGAGGTTGCAGTGAGCTGAGATCGTACCACTGCACCCCAGCCTGGGCAACAGAGTGAGACTGTTTTAAAAAAAAAAAAAAAAGAAGAAAAAAAACCAAAGTACTTCTAAGCACCTAGAAATATCCTATTGCAGGGACCATGGCCTGTGGGCCGAATGTTTTCAGCTACCTGATTTCTATAAAGTTTTATTGGAGCACAGCTACACTCATTCATTTACATATTTATAAATGTCTACGGCTGCTCTCCTGATACAACAGCAGAGCTGAATGGCTGGCTGCATGGCCAAAAATATTCCCCATTTGGACCTTTATGGAAATAGTTTGCTAACCCCTGCTTTAAAGAATGTCTTATTGTCCTTTGTTGAAACTATTCTTTTTAAAATACCAATATTTAACATACATATATAATTTCCTTTTCCATGTTATTGTGTGCAGTAGTGGTATACAAGATTAGAAAGACAGGTTAAGATCAGATCATAGAAGGCCATGAAGAATGGAACAATCATATGAATTGTAATCACTTTATAGAAGGGGAAAATACAAGTACGAAACATTTAAGAGGAGACAAAAGAATAAAGTAAAACCAAGCAATCAACAGCACAAAAACTTTCCCAAAGAAACATAACCAACAACAGCCAACCAAAGTGTTTAGATAATCTGCCATGATATACTGTAGAATTCACACCTCATCTATCTGCAGATCCTGCTCCTTTTCCTGCCAGTTAGAATTACAGTCCCATATAAACTTTAGCTTCTCTGTAAGGTCCTCCTAGACCACACTGGTCCACCAAACATACTTTATAGACACAGTCTCCTAACTAGACTTATTTTATAGACCAAAGGTTGGCAAACTGTTTTTCTAAATGGCCAGCAAGTATATATTTTAGATATCCTGGGCCACAGAGTCTCTATCACACATTCTTCTTTGTTGCTTTTATTTTACAACTTGTAGGATACAAAAATCAGTCTAGATCCTGGGCTATATAAAACAGGTAGCAGCCTGGATTTGGGACTTAAGAAGTCATGTGCAGATCTGTTTCATGTTTTATCTGACATAATTTCACCTTAAAACTGTGAGCTTTTCTTTATGGGCATGAGGAAAAGCTTCTTTATCCAACTAGATTACAGTAAACTTCTTGAAAACAGAAACCCTATCATGTTAAATAAAATATGACATAAAATCCCTCAGTATGTAAAATTCTGTCTTGTCCATATCAATTATTCATAAATGATTACTGAATGAATTTCAATCATCACTGTCAAGGCTGAAAGCCTGAATAGATGCAAGGGGTCAAACCTAACAGTGCCAGGGGTGTGACAGAATCCAGGTTAGCAAGCTATTTTATTGCTTAAAATATTAATCCTCATTCATTTTGAGCAGTCTTAAGATGCTATCATAACATTTATACTGTCATCCAAGATTTATAATTCAGGGATAATGCTGATTATTTCATATGGAAAATATGTATCCACTCAAATTAACTCCATTAGTAATGTTATCTACCTCATAGGGTTGTTAGAATTAAATAGCTAGTCCATGTAAGAAGTACTTAATACAGTGCTGGGCAGGTAACAGATATTCAATAAAGGTTAGCTCTTATTATGCAGTAGGAATGTAGGGAATATTAAAAGAATATTAAAGTTAATTTCTTAACTATGCTTATTTCTGGAACAATTTTAGCTTTTCCTTAAAACATTTTTTTGAGTAACTATTATTTTGGTAACCTGAAAATGTCCTCTAAAGCCTCCTGTGATTTACTGAGTATTTTCTGAGTATTCTTTTCTAAGCATCCTAGTTCAATTTTATTATATTCAATATGCTATTCTTACTAAATAGGAATCATACCATAGCTCAACCAGTCCCAAATTCTGGACTGTAGACCAGTGCGGCAGCACAAGCTAAGGTCCAAGGCAAAATGATAAAAATAAGGACAATAAAAGTGTCTTTTATTCTAAAGTTGTCTTTTCTATTTTTAAGTGTTCATGTGTCCTTTCTTTTCAGAAACAATAGTGACTATGATGACAGAAAACATAAAAAGTTGCCTATTAGTGCTCTCATTTTGTAAAATTTTACTAGTTTCCAAAACGCCCAAGTGAAGGAACCTGTATTCAACAATATAAGGATTACTAGTTTTGTAAGTAATGAGATCTGTAAAAATAAAAATGCTGTATGCTAAACAAAATTTTTATGATTCAGAAGTTTACCAGGGTCTGATACATGAAATTAAGAAGCCATCTCATCAAATGGAACCAAGTGATACTTTAATTAATGTCTATATTGATAAAGAGAAAATTAAAAACACTTGGCTTACCTTTCCCCTAAAAGAACAAAGATCAAATTAAACTATAGATAACTTCTCTTCCAAGAGGCATAGGAGAAAAAGAAGAGTCTGCGTCTCCTTTTGTTTTACTGATTTTCCGCAAGGGTACTGGCTTTCAGCTGAGATGATGCTTATACATACCTAACTTTTCTTTCTTTCCTTTTTAAGTTACATTCCTGTAAGAGTGTGCTTTGAAGTGGTTTCTGCAAGTCCTAATTTAGAATTTTTGATTTAATTTAAAAACTGCTTTACTACTGAAACAAATGTACTTTGCTTTAAAAAAAAAATCTCTACTTTTATCTTCATTTTAAAAAATATATAATCAAATAGAACATATCCACACTTTAGGGGACAAGCCATAATGCTGCTTTTAGGCTCTTCTGCTTCTCCTCTTGGTACATTTGCTATCTGGAATCTTTATTCATTAATTTGATCGATTTATCAATCACCTAAAATGGGCCACCGTTTTTTTCTAGGTGTTGAGGATACAGCAGCAAACAAAACAAAATTCTGTTATCTTCCTGTATCTTTCACGCTAGAGACAAACAGAGATAAATGTAAATAAACACAGAGTTATGTGTGTGTGTATGCACCCAGCCAATGGTCATAAGTGTTTTGGAGAAGACTAAGGTAATGCAGGTGGACAGGTTAACACTGAGCAGAAATAGGGGGTAATTTTAAATATTATGATCAAAGAAGAGCTCAGTGAGGTGACTTTCAAACAAACACTTGACAAAGTAAAGGAGTAAGTCATGTGGTTACCTGTGGAGACCATCTCAGCCTGAGTAGGCAGCAAGTACAAGGACTACTGTGTCCAAAGGACAAGAAAGTACGTGTGGCTTTCTTGCTTTGGAGGTAAGAAGGTATCAGGATGAAGAGTGAACTGGTAGTTAATAGTGTTTTTACTCTGAGATGGAAAAGTAATAGGAGAGTTGATTTTTTTTAAGGGGGTCTCATTAAGTTGCCCAGGTTGGTTTTGAAGTCCTAGGCTTAAGTAATTCTCCCACGCTAGCTTCCCAAAGTGCTGGGATTACAGGTGGGAGGCCACACGCCTGGCCACAATAGGAGACTTTTGAGCAGAGGAGGAGTAAGACCTGATGTGATGCTTTAAAAGAATAATTCTTAGTGCTATATTGAAAACAGACAATATATGGGGTGGGAGCAAAGTGAAGGAGGGAGAAGTTAAGTGGCTACTGGAATAATCCAGCTGAGAGACAACGTGGCTTGGCCCAGTGTGCCAGCAGTGGAGGCTGGGTTCTACCTACATATATAGTGAAGGTACAGTAAGCAGGAGGTGCTGACAAAAATGATGTGTGTGTAAAAGTGGAGTCAGGAATGACTTCGAAGTTTTTGTTTTCGTTTTTGAGACGAAGTTTTGCTCTTGTTACCCAGACTGGAGTGCAATGGCATGATCTCGGCTCACCGCAACCTCCACCTTCTGGGTTCATGTGATTCTCCTTCCTCGGCCTCTGGAGTAGCTGGGGTTACAGGCATGTGCCACCACGCCTAGCTAATTTTTTGTATTTTTTTAGTAGAGACGAGGTTTCTCCTGACCAGGTTGGTCAGGCTGGTCTTGAACTCCTGACCTCAGGTGATCCGCCTGCCTTGGCCTCCCAAAGTGCTGGGATTACAGGCATGAGCCACCATGCCTGGTGACTTGGAAGTTTTTGGCCTGAACAACCAGAGGGTGCAGAAAACTGTGAAAGAAAGAGGTTTATAAGGGGAGATGTGTTAAATTTTGGACATATTACATTTAAGATGTCTCTTAGCCATTCAAGAGAAGATGGCAAACAGGTGTTTACATACATGAATCTGGGAGTTCAAAGCAGAGAAATGGGCTGGAGATAGAAATTGGGAGTAATCAACCTAAATAAATGTAAAGCCATGGGACTGAAGGATAAGATCAAGAGGGTGAGAAGGAAACCTTTTTAGTTTGTTTCAGGGACTAGGTCTTACTCTGTCGACCAAGCTGGAGCACAGTGGCATGCTTGTAGCTCACTGCAGTCTCGAACTCCTGGGCTCAAGCAATCCTCCTGCCTCAGCCTGCAGAGTAGCTGGGACTAAAAGCGTGTGCCATTATGCCTGGCTAATTTTTTATTTTTTGTACAAACAGGATCTCCGTATGTTTCCCAGGCTGGAAGGAAACCTTTTGTTAGAGCCTTTTACATTCTCACTCCTATGATAAGCTGCATAAGAGCAGAGTTTCTGCAGCTAAAAGTACACCTCTACTCAGCAGGTATGCAATGACTGGTTTTCCTCGGTCCAGCCCCATTTCTAAGCTCCCTACTTAACAGAATTTTCGGCAGCATTTAGAGCCTCCTGTAAGGTCTGTCATCCTTAGGGCTCAGATGTCCCATGCCACCAAAGAATTTACATAGCTTGGGCAAGACCCTCAGAGTCTGTGCCTATCTACGCTAACAGCAAAGGGTGTCCAGGTCAGTCTTGATGGAATTACAGCTGGGTTTGACTACAATGCATTCCCAAATGTACATGCTTGCAGGAAACTAAACTATAAACAAGGATTTACTCTGAGTTATCGGCAATGAAAACATTTACAATTACTCCCAATCCCTTGTAGAGAGTTTGAACAGGCTCTTTTGCTTGTGGTTTACTTGTTTGTATTATTAAATTTTCACCTAGTTTGAGGGAAGATGTAAAGTGTCAGAAAAAAAAAAAAAGTGAAGAGAAGAAAAAGAAACAGAATGGGCAACCTTCTGAGATTTTAGGCTGCAGATCCAGCGACTGAAGAAAGCACCTCTCAGCCTCATGGGACTTGTCAGCCACGTGGACTAGACACTCACACAATTCCCTTCTTTGGCACTAGAGAAAAAATATCTTCAGGGCTTTTAGTATCACAGATCTTCTCCCATCAATATGAAATCACTTTAAAATAACTATTTTTTTGTCTTAAATAGAGTAAGCATCACAGCTGACCTGCTTCACTGTCCGGCCTCCAAGTTCCCAGTGCTGCTTATTAAAAAAGAGTCAGTTTAATTCTTATGATCTCAATAGGGATGAGCTTAATGTTCTCAAATTCTCCAACCCTTCTCACCCCAACCAACCTCCTCAAAACTAACCTTTACCATACTGAAAGATGGGTGAAACTCATCTACCTCTCATCAGACTTCCCACTCCAGACTCCCAGATTCCACAACTGCATGCCTAGATGCTTGCCACCTCTGGCTAGGCAACTGTCCTTGTCTCTGTGTGACTCCACAGAAAAGTGGCCTCAAATCTCTCCTTTAGTTCCCAAAACAAAGCTAAGACCATTCCACAGCCTTTAACAAAAAACAAACTGAAGGCAGGCGAGGAAAACACAATACCCAACATCAGGTATCCACTGCTTTTAGATTCCAGCAGCCACGCTTCCTACCTGGCAGGGTCTCATTGACTTTCTTCTCGCTCCTGCATGGTCACGTAGGATGCTCGGCTTTCTTCAGGAAGCCCAGAACCTTCCCTAACTAGAGTACTTGTTAATACCATAATACTTTGGACAACTGCCCCAAAGACAACTTTTTACATTATGGTAGGTCCAGAAATTCAGAAATTTATGGGCCTAGCATAACAGTATTTTGGATTTTTTTTTCCATAGCCAAAAGCCCAACATGTTTTTCCTAGATAGAAGAGAAAAAAATTATGCCATCTCTCTGCTAGATGTTACCAGCTATTCCCTCGTCACATCATTACTCCTTTTCATGAGCAATAATCCCAAATCACTATTACCCTTTACCTCAATCTCAAACTCTGAAACTCAGAGTTGTTGGGAGGGTCTAAGAAAATAACATGTTGGTCAGGCGCCGTGGCTCATGCCTGTAATCCCAGCACTTTGGGAGGCCAAGGCAGACAGATCACCGAAGGTCAGGAGTTTGGGACCAGCCTGGCCAACATGGTGAAACCCCATCTCTATTAAAAAAAAAAAAGAAAGAAAGAAAGAAAGAAAGAAAGAAAAGAATGTGGCTGGGCACCATGGCTCACACCTGTAATCCCAGCACTTTGGGAGGCTGAGGCAGGTGGATCACCTGAGGTCAGGAGTTTAAGACCACCCTGGCTAACCTGGCAAAGCCCCGTCTCTACTAAAAATACAAAAAGATTAGCGGGGAGTGGTGGCACACACATGTAATCCCAGCTACTCAGGAGGCTGAGGCAGGAGAATTGCTTGAACCTGGGAGGCGGAGGTTGCAGTGAACCAAGATCGAGCCACTGCATTTCAACCTGGGCAACAGGGCAAGACTCTGTGGGGCGAGGCGGGGGGCAGTTAGCAGAAAGATAATGCAAAAATAAGAGGAATAAAGAAGAGGCATGTAAACATTTAGTACATTTTATGATACATACTGTATGCTCAATAAATGATAAAAATCATTATCATTCATACCCAACATAGCATTTAATGTGTTATTGTAAATGTCCCCAAATCATAGTCCATTGCTAGATAAACCCTTAGGAATAGGAACTGAATATTTGTTAGTTTATCTTCTAAAATTATTTGATGAGAGGGAAGTCATTCATTCAAAATTGTATTAAGTGCTTATTATTTGCTAAAATCTAGCAATCTAGATTTTCTTAAATAGAATAAGCATTTAAACTAAAAAAGGTTTCCTTCTCACCCTCTTGGTCTTACCCATGAGTTAAAATCTAGATTTTAGCAAATAACAGGCACTTAATACAATTTTGAATGAATGACTTCCCTCTCATCAAATATTTACTAACTTCTAGGCATCACAGAATATTAACAACAGTTTCTGCTCTTAAGGCATTTATAAAGATGTGTACAAATAAGACAAATCTTAGTCATTTGAGAAGTTTAACAGATGCTAAGGGGTTCAAAGGCAGGCCAAAATTATAACAATGGTAGAGAGTAATGGGAACCCCTAATGCAGTTCCTGAGACCTTTTCGAGGGGTTCACAAGGTCAGAACGATTTTTCATAATCATAGTAAGACTTTATTTAGCTTTTTCATTCATTCTTTCAGGAGTGAACACTGGAGTTTCCAGTGTCCTGGGACCTGTAATAGTGCAACAGGCCGAATGCAGAAGCACATAAAAGAATCCAGTTCTGTGATTAAGCCAAGACATTAAAGAGATCTTCCAAATGAAAACCAATGCCACTTTTCTAATTAACTTTTTGGTTTCGTAAAATTTGTTTTCCCACAAAAGTATTATTTCTGTTATCCTGTAATGGGTTATTCTTTTCAAATAAATTGATATTTTTAAAATGTCTTAGCTTTAATTTCAAAGATGGTAAATATCCGTATATATTACATGTATGTAATATCTCTAACCCACATAAGAGCTCTCTGGGGTCCTCAATAATTCTTCAGAGAGTAAAGGAGTCTCGAGACCAAAAACTTCAGGAACCCTAACAGCCATTCCACGCCTGACAAGGAAAATAGTTTTACTTCGAGTTTCATGTTCATGGTGAAGTCAGGAAGAGAACGTGGTAACCTGGTTTGATGGAGGGAGATGATGAGTCCGGCGTTGGTCTTTCCCAATACCTTGTAAAACGTTCACGAATTCCTGCACCCCACCCTCCGCTCTCATCACCTCCTCGCCTGAGCTTCTTCCTAACCTTCCTTAGGTCTCCCAGGGCTGAGTCCACATCCCATTCTATTGCATTCTAAGTCCTCTGGAGGACTGCCCCGTTCCAAGAGTCTCCTGACGGCTTTCCTTCTCTCACTGCCCTCCCGGGTCGACCTCGACTTCTCCCTTTCACCCGGGGCGGGAGTGGGAACAGGGAGTGAGGCAGGCGCTGGGCCACTTCTGCCTCCGCCCTCCGGAGCCCCGGGACCCGCTCTCGAACCCCAGGCGTTCCGGAGCGCTGCTGGGTTCCGCTTCGTCTCAGTGACCCAGGCCCCCGAACACCTCCGTTCACTCACGCCGCCGGCGCCCCCGCCTCCCCGCCCGAGCCCTTTTCGCTCCGCCCGCGCGCCCGGCCCGCCGCGGTCCCGAGCTCACCTGAGGCGGAGGCGCCCGCGACTCCCCGCCAGCTCCGCCAGCCGCCTCCAGCCCCGGCCCTCGGGCGCCCGGTCCAGGCGCTCGCTGAGCCTCCGCAGCAGCGGCTCCCGCAGGCGGTTGAGGGTCGCGCCGGCCGGAGGAGGGAGCGGCCCCGCGGGGATGGCCGGGGGCAGCGGGGCCTGCAGCGGGTCTCCCGGCAGCGACATGGCCCGCGCCGGCCACCCCGGACGGCCGCGGCTCCCGCCCGCCCCGTCACGGTCCTCGGCCCCGGGGCACCTTCCGCTAGCCTCCGAATCGCGGAGGCAGGGGCGGAAGAACAAATCTGGCGGCGCGGCACGGGCCTCGAGGAGGAAGCTCGGCTCCCCGCCCCAACGAGACAGGTTTACCTAGGGTAGCCGGCCCAGCCTGCCGCTCCCCCCGCCCAGAGGGGCGGGCGCCGGGGAGCTGGGCCTGGCCCAGAGGGGCGGGGCGAGCCGCCCACTGTGCGCGTGCGTGCGGCCGCGCGCCTCCCTCGCCCTTCCCCGCGGCCCCGGGCTGGCCGCGGCGCGCGCTTCAAACCCCGGAGGTGGGGAGGTCCTGCCGAGCAGGAAGGGACGGGTGGGTGCAGCTGGAGGAGGAAGCGGTGGAGGAACTACGCCCCGGCAGCTCCTCTACGGCGAGGAAGCCTGCGGCGTCTGGGCTTCCCGAGACCGCGGGAGGCGGCCTGCGTGCTCACGCCAGCGAGCAGGGCAAGCGGTTCTCCGTCGCCGGCCCCGCCCACAGGCTCCGGCGGCCGCTCTCCCCTGACTCCGGGACTTGCCTGTGTCCGGCGACCCACCAGCCTCCTGCAGTGGGGAACCTCAGGCGGACGCTTCCTCGTTTTAGGGTTAGATGTGTATGGCATTGCTAGAGGGAAGTAGTGCTGGAGATCCTGATACTTGAGTTGGACTTGGCCAAAATCTTTGCCTAGACTTTAAAAAAAATTACTACTTTGCAAACGAAGCTGTGATATATTTAAGGCTAATCATCTTGGAGATGATTGTTTTCATCAGGAATCATCTGGTTTACACCGAGTCAGACTGCCGCCCGCAATCTTCGTCATCAAAGCAGGCAACCCTGTTGAGGATGCCCTTCCCCGGAATGATCCGGAATGGACGACACCTGAGCTCTCTCTGCCAATCTAGCAACATCCAAGGCTGTTACGCCTTTGAAAACTGTGGGTTAGTTTGGGACAAAAAGAAAGCAACTTATGAAATGTGACCAGCCAGGTAGCCCCCTATTCAAGGCTTTCTGGCCCAATTTCTGTTGCCATTAGCTTTTCATCACCCAAGACAGCAGGATTTTCTGGACAATAATTTAGATACCTAAATTCTTTTGCTGTTGTTGTGAGACCGGGTCTCGCTCTGTTGCCCAGGTTGGAGTGCAACGACGCGATCTCGGCTCACTTCAACCTCTGCCTCCTGGGTTCAAGCAATTTTCTGCCTCAGCCTCCTGAGTAGGTGGGATTACGGGCACCCACCACCACACCTGGCTAATTTTTATATTTTTAGTAGAGAGGGCGTTTCCCCATCTTGGCCAGGCTGGTCTTGAACTGACCTCGTGATCCACCTGCCTCGGCCTCCCAAAGTGCTGAGATTGCAGGTGTGAGCCACTACGCCCGGCCTGGATACCTAAATTCTTATACATGTTGGCGAGTTAGGTGCGCCTTTCAGTTTCCACCACATTCCAGCACAAGCAGTCATTAAACTTCACTGTAGCATAAATTCCGAATTCAGACTGCAGTGCAATGGCCAAGAGCATGACCTTTGGACCTGGAAAGATCTGCTGGGTTTAAGTGCTATGAGCTTGAATAATTTCTCCGCTTCATCTGTTAACATGGGACTGAAATTACAGTTTATACAGGGTTGTTATTAGAATTAAAGGAGTTGATGTATGTGAAGCACTTAACTTGGTCACTGGTACCTGGTAGATACTCAGTAAATGCTATTACCCTTACACTTAGAAATGCCATCTCATACTCAGTTTGACTTGGTAAGCCTTTCCCAGTCACTTCAGGCACCTTCCTGTTTTGTCCTCAATCATTGATCGTGTATTTTCTGAGCATCTATTACCTGCATGTGCCAGTTATGGAAATCAAGTCTTCTGGTCTTTACTGGAATCCTACCTTTTAACTTAAATTCAACAGATGTCTTCTAAGTTAGACTTCTTAGAAAAGCACAAACATGTAAATTGTTGCTTATGTGCCTTCTCATGTGTGGCTAAGAGTTAAATGGGTGCCGGTGTTATTTACTCTTAGCCAGTATAGCTCAGCTGGGCACTGTTTTGACCTCCAGTTGTAGAGGAGGTCAAAACCTCCCGCCCCGCCTTGCCGCTTCCCAAGTGACTGGCTCCCTCATTTACCCTACCTTTTTTTCCACCTAGCGATTTTATAATGTATCCGATCACTCTACCCACCACCCTCCATCCTCTACCCAAACTGACATTACATTTTTTGACTGGCCTTGTCTTCCCTCAACCAAATGTCTATATTTCCATTACATCATTTCACTCCTCTGGTTCTCTTATGGGCATAATGGTGTAGTAGAATGTGACCTTAAAGTTCTGAATTGGAAACTTGCTACTGCTGCTGCCCCTTACTAGTGGGGGGCCTTAGGGAGTTACTTAACCTCTCTGAGCTTCAGTTTCCACACCTGTAAAAAGTGGAAAATAGTATAGTACCTAATAGTACTATATAGTGTCAGGGAAAAGTATGTGCATTGCATATTAGTAGTCTTCAAATTGCTACATCAATTTTGGGAAAACATAAATAGTAATTCAGCTTCCTTTTCTATATTAATCATTATGTTTGTATAAAGATAGGAGAAAACTTGGGGGTAAAGATCTGGTTTTTAAATGTTCCTTAAAAGTTCATGCACGTCTATAGATAATGGCCTTGAGAGTTCTTCCTCATTAGTCCAAAGTGAGATAGATCTTTGTAAATCCAGACAAGTTTGTGGTTTCAATACATGGAACTCCACTGATGTAATCTTCAAAATACTCATAGATCTGGAAACTGACTCATGGGATTTTTTCCTTTATACAATTTAACTGAAGATGATACTCCAACTAAAAAAAGAAAATGCCAGAATGACATATTATTTCATTTATGGACAGGGTTTAAAAGACCCAGTGCAGAAGAAAATCTGTGGTCCCTGGATCTGTGTACAATGGAGGAAAGGAAGCAGGAATTATGTGGCTTAAATGACATTCATTGTCTCCCATCCCTCATTCCATGCTCAGCCCACTTTGTGACCTTTCTGACTCAGCCTCTGTAGGGGCCACTCAGGTGACCCACAGACACAGCTCAGCACATCCCCTGCAGCCCATTCTTGCCACCGTCTTCCAAAGGATTAGGGAAGTTTTCTCATTTTGATTTCAACTTTGCAATAGTAGCTAAGCGTCATACCACACCCTTCCTTCATGATGAATCATCTAGACCTAAATACTTGATGCTGACCATGGAAAGACTACACCTACTTATCTAAATTTATTCATTCGCTCAATCAATCATTCATTCCATCATTAACACATATTCATGGGGCACCAGGCCCTGTATCAAATACATACTGTTAAAGAATAGTTTTTATTTAATTAATTTATTTTGAGACAGAGTTTCATCCTTTTTGCCCTGGCTAGAGTGCAATGGTGTGGATCTCAGCTCACTGCAAACTCCGCCTCCCGGGTTCAAGTGATTCTCCTGCCTCAGCCTCCTGAGTACCTGGGATTACAGGTGTGCACCACCAAGCCCAGCTAATTTTTTGTATTTTTAGTACAGATGGGGTTTCACCATGTTGCCCAGGCTGGTCTTGAACTCTTGACCTCAGGTGATTCACCCACCTCGGCCTCTCAAAGTGCTGGGATTACAGGCATGAGCCACCACACCCAGCTTTAATAATAGCTTCTAAAAGAAAGTTTAAATCATGATGCAACAAATATACAATGAACACGTATCAGAGATTTTAACTTATTAACTAACTAGAGAATCAGAAAGGTGTTACAATTAATTCAGAGGAGAATCCAAAGACCAGATTAATATGTCGGCCCATTGAAATGAAGTTGCTGGGCCAGGCGCAGTGGCTCACACCTGTAATCCCAGCACTTTGGGAGGTTGAGGTGGGTGATCACCTGAGGTCAGGAATTCAAGACCAGCCTGGCCAACATGGTGAAACCTTGTTTCTACTAAAAATACAAACAATTAGCTAGACTTGGCGGCATGCGCCTGTAGTCCCAGCTACTCGGGAGGCTGAGGCAGGAGAATTGCTTGAACCCAGGAGGCGGAGGTTGCAGTGAGCCAAGATCGGCATTGCACTCCAGCCTGGGCAATAAGAGCAAAACTCCGTCTTAAAAAAAAAAAAAAGAAAAAAGAAAAAAAAAGAAATGAAGTTGCTTCTTAGATGCAAAACTGGCTTCCTTGACAGTAGCCGAGGGAGTTCAATTGAATCTATACCTGACAGAATTCATTTAATTATAAACAAGATTCACTTGCATCACTATCAGTTTTCCACAAGTTCATTCCTATCTCAGAGTTGTAAAATAGCATAGCCATGAGACAAAGACGAAGACAACCCAGGCAGATGAGCTAGTCAGGATTCCCACACCGCAGTTTAGTCTTGACCAGTTTTCCCTTAGAGTTTGCAGAATATAGTGTTGACCAAACCCAATGTCTGCTTAAGACATAGAATGGGAGTAGTGAGTGCTCTTTGGATAGCAAGAAGTATATAGATCCAAGAGAGAGCCCTTCGGTCCGTGTGAAAAGATGAGAGGAGATGGCTTGGGAAACAGGGTAGAAAGAATACCATCCTGTAAAAGCACAGAGCCAGAAACATCACAGCGAGGTTGGAGAACTGCAGTTGCTTCAGGATTGCTGGGGATACTGATGGAAAAGGGACAGAGACCAAGATGTAAAAGGCAGCGAAGACCAGATGATGTCATGCCAAAATTCTGAGATTTTATTCTGTAGATACATGTCTACCACAGAGCCATCTATGCCCCACTAGTGTTATACAAGATGCTTTTAAGTCGTACATGGATGAACATTTTTATCTTAGTAGTTACACATTAATTCAGAAAAGAAAAATAGCTGCCAGTCAAAACTGCCATTTCAATCAATAGTATTGATTAGGACCATGTTAAATTTACTTGTTAAAATTTGATTTTAAGAAAGTGTATTAAATACCCACAAGTACAGGTGGTGTGTGGATATGTCAAAACCCCTAACGCTGTTAAATGTTTACAGTTTGAGAAACTCTGCTTTAAGTGATGGAGAGTAATTGAAATATTTTAAGCAGGATGGCAATTTCACTTTTGGGTTTTTGAAACATCTCTCGGGCAGCAATGTAGGGAGGGGAAAGGCTGGAATCCAAGAAGTATTCTAATAATGTAGATGGGAAAAAAGGCCTCTGCCAAGAGCCACAACACTGGGCATGGAGAGG